AGTACCTTTCCGAATTTGTCTTTGACAACTTCTCCCTTTTTCTCCATGGCAGCTCTGTTCCCATCAGGCAAATCTTGACCTAGCGTGAGCACCAAGATTCCCATGAGGATGTGCAACCAACCGGGGACGAAGAAGGCGATCCTCCAGGCTGTGAAAGCCGTCGAACCACAACGCCTTATAATCTCATACACAACCGGCATGAGCAATTGCGTTATGCCACCGCCCATGTTTCCCCATCCGGCGGCCGTCCCGTTCACCAGACCGATGATCTGACTGTTGAACATAGTGCTCATCCAGTACTGACAAGACACAAACGTCGCCAGGCAGAACCCAATCATGAACCTCACCGTTATGAACCCTGCGGGTCCACTCACGAAGCTCATCGAGAACACTGTTGGTGCGGAAAGCATCACAAGGAAGGCACACCCGTAACGGGGACCTAGAAGATCACACACGGCTCCCATCACCAGCCTGGAGAAGATACTCCCCGAGACCGAGGCAACTCCAGCGTTTCCGATKTCTTGTTTCGTTAAGTTAAGATTTTCCCGAATGATCGGGACAAGTGGTGCAGCTGCGAATGTGGAGACAAAACATGTGGAGAAAGAGATCCACGACAGATGAAACGTTCTCATGTGAGGTTTGGCAAAGGAGAAGAGCTTGAATTTCATTGCCTTATGCTCTGCGTCCACCGGCAGGTCAAAGTGGGCCGTCTTGTCGGATGTCACAACCGGCGAAGCCACCGAGAAAGCAAAGCTCTGTTCTCTACCGGTGACTCCATGCATGGAGCTTCCCGGCTCCCCTGTAGGATCACCCATTGATCTGAATATCGAAGTTTCTTTTTGAGATATGATTCAAGTTTATTTGATTGATGTTTGGAGATTACACGAGAGGGCTTTTATAGGATTCCTAATGTTGATAATTTGAAAAGCATTCTTTGGAGATTCTCAACGGTTAACGAACGATTTTAAAATATTGTTTTGGAGGAATCCATTGCATCTTCCTAGTCTCTCGCTTATCCCAAAGGTTGTGCTTTTGCTTCAAATGACAGCCTTACCCTTCTCTCCTCTCCTTTTATTAATAGAGCATGATTATAGGTAGTAAATATGTTGGGGATAAATATATGAATTTTATAATATTAATTGCATTGGGGATTGATGAGAAGAGAAAAAGAGAGAGATATATGTATAATTACTCTACTAAATATGGGTAATATAGATCCTACATTTAGAAACCCACTATATTTACTCTTAAATGGATTTAATTGTTTAATTGTTTTGATTTAATTAAATGGGTTTAATTGTTAAAACCCCACTCTATTTACTTTTATTATCCACCTATAATCATGCTCTAAGTCACGATGTTTATGTGGAAATTGAATCATTTTGACATGTCTTAGTTGTTGTTACCAAACTGAAAAGAATACATTGGATTTTATATTTTCAGAACTTCCAATCCCTAAAATATGTGATGTGGGAACGTTAAGGATAATGAATACTTGAGGTATGAATTAAAATTTCGAGAGGCTTACTCTATATATTGTTTTTCATCGCTCATATATTTGATATTTAGGAACTTGATATATGAATATTGGTATATCACACGAATCTAGCAGATACCTAAAAGGCTAAACCCGTACTGGCTTTGGTCTCTCCCATTAGTTTAATTTTTTTCTACCTTGACTAATTTTGCCTACTTTCTTTCAATTTTGCCTTCAATCTCAATTTCTAGCTCTTTTCTCGGAACAGGGATCAAGCACCACATTGGCATCATGCGACTAATTAAACTCTACATTTCTAATCATTCTAAAGTGATGTCATTTAATTCTCTGTGTATTATAAATGATTTTTTCTTTAACAATTTATGAAGGGTATCAATAACTATACCGTATAGTATCAAAGATATGAATAAGAATAATTATGATTTAGTGAATAAACTAATTGCTCGGTCGAACTTAGGGTGGCCTTAGCTGCATATTAGTTGTCTCTTAAAATAGAATACGATCGCTTATTACTTCAACAAACTTTTACTATATATTTTTGATATAGCACGTGACGTATGGCTATAACCTATAAGCCCAAGTGCCCAACCATCATACGAATAAATCTAGAAGCTTTGATTTCTTTACTTATTTTTTGGAATTCTCACATAGAGTGAAAACTATTAAGTATTCTATACGTATATAAACGTGAAAAGAAATATTTATGTAGTAATTTTTTAAAACAATATTCTATAACTTATAAAATTACGAATCCATGAAACAATTTCAATTATCGAACAGAGTAAAACTTTTAATAATTTCTAAATAATACTTACAATAGAAAAATGGTTTCATGTATATTAAAGAGTTCTTACTAGAGTTCTGAAACAATTACAAAATATTAATACTAATAATATATGTTTAAGATCTAAAAGAATAATGATAAAATAAATGTAAGTCTCTAAATATTTAAGATTATTAGATAGAATTCTCAAATTTTTAGAAAGTTACAAA